GCCTCAGCACCCACTGACCACAGCACCCACCTAGCCTCAGCACCCACCCAGCTGCAGCACCCACTGGCCACAGCACCCACTCAGCCTCACACCCACCCAGCCTCAGCACCCACTGACCACAGCACCCACCCAGCCGCACCCATCCAGCTACAGCACCTACTGGCCACAGTACCCACCCAGCCGCACCCACTGGCCACAGCACCCACCCATCCTCAGCACCCACTGGCCACATCACCCACCCAGCCTCAGCACCCACCTGGCTGTAGCACCCTGATCTCCAGCAGGTTGGAGGTCCTTTCCGCCAGCCGTGTCCAGGTGTGGTTGTAGTTCCTCCGCCACAGCTCCGCCACACACTGGTACTTGCCCGCCTCTGTGTCACTGGCTCGGCTGATGCTCAGGCGGACGTTGTTGCTGGACTCAGCCTTCTCGATGGCAGTGCGGGTTCGGAAGCTGGAGGACCTGTCCCCCCACTGGACCCCTCCATCCCGGGTGAAGGTCACCAGGTCGTGGAACTCAAGGGTGCCCACCGGCTGGAACCTCCACGTCACTGACACAGGGACCCGGGCAGGGTAGTGGGGTTTGATGATACACTGCAGGTCAAAGGAGTCGCTGTAGGTCACCCCCGGCGTCCTGGAGATGGCTGTGACCGCGAAGCCGGTCTCTGGAGAGAGAGCAGAGAGATTCAACCAGAGTAGCCCCTTGCCTCTTGAGGCAGTGGGAAGGGAAGCCGTGCAACACAGAGGCTCTCAGGGCCCTCTCCCCACAGCCAGGTCAACATGGTCTTTGGTATGAGACTCAGAAAACCCCATGGAGAGAGGCCGCCCCCATGCTCCTGAGCAGCACTAGCCCAGGCCCTTCCCAACCCGCGTGCACCTGTGTTCAGTCCTCCCTAGGATCCCCACAGTCCTCTCAGAAACTGAGTACACATGTAAGCAAGGCCACTCCTAGAAATCTTGGGTTTCCATGAAAAAATAGGAGAGAAAGGCCACAAAGCCAATTTCCTTCATAATGTGCAAGCAAGATGGCTACAACCTCCCAGCCTGACCTCCATTTCCTGGTCCCCTGACCAGTGCTAGAGAAGGATGCAGATGGGTGGGGGGAGGTGCCAGGCCCTTTCCCACTTCCCTCAGGAAATCTGGGGCAGAGAGGCAGGTGAGGATCTCTGGTGAGGAGGGTCAATGGTCCCAAAGCCAGGGTTCTGCATTCTCAGCGGGCTCTCAATATTCCCTGCTGACCAGGCAGCATTCCTAACCTCAGACTAACTCCTCAGCATGACTGCCTCAGAGCCCCTGCAGTCTGGAAATACTATTTAATATTAATGCACTGACTATGATCAGAAAACCAGCAGCAGCCAGTACTTCCTGAGCACTGTTTATGTGCCATGCACGGGGTCAGCTGCTTTGCTCCCAACAAACTTCAATGAATCCAACCAAATCGCCCTGCAGAACAGGTGGCCTCATCATCTCTTCTTCTAGGTGCAAGAACAAAGGCAGAGAAAGGTCAAATAAACCGCCCACTATCAAGCTGCTGGCAGGGAGATGGCAGAGCCAGGACCCACACCTGCGTGTAACTAGATTCCAGGGGCCTTTAAGCTCGCTTTACCAGAGGCAGGTATGGACTCAGGGGCCCGCTGCCTGACAGTGATGCTTCCTAGTTGTGTGACATTAAGCAAGTTACTTAATAATTTCTCTCTGCCTCTGTTCTCCATCTATAAAATGGGTCCGTGTGAAGATTAAATGAGTTAATATTTGCAAAATTCTTGGACTAGGACCTGGCACATGGCATATATCATATTTTGTTAAATATGTATTTTGTTAAAGAAACAAATAAAGGAAAGTCCTTTAAACTCTGTGGGTGAAAGACTAGTCACAGAATGGATCCTTTAGCTTTTCTGTGAGAGGTTAAAACAGTAGGGAAGTACAATTTGCTAAAAACTCTGTATTTTCAATATGAATTTCGTATGAAATCTCTATAGTCTTAAAAAAAAGGTTTAAGACACAGAGACTCATTCTTAAACATTAAGTGGCTGTCATAACCATTTGTGCACCTGGGTATGGCAGGTGTTGCCCTGAGAGTGGTACAGGGCAGGAGCTCGGGGACCGGATTCACACCAGGTACTCCTAGCCTCACACCTGAAGACAGAGCTTCTCCAAGCAAATGACTCCGTCTAGGCCTGGCACAAACATGTGCCTCAGTCACAGACCACAGAGCACCCGAGTTGCCCTAAGTGCCTCAGTCACAGACCACAGAGCACCCGAGTTGCCCTAACTGAACATTTATAATGGCCTATGTGAATTTAGGGGCCCATGCCTAATTGGACCAGTATGAAAATGCACATGTCATTTTTAACTTCGGCCAACCTTAGTTCATCCAGGGTGCCCTCCTACTCTTCCTCGTCTGATTCTGGCTCTTACCAGAGGCATCCCAGGGGTCAGCAGGTGAACAAAGCCAGCCCCAGGATCCTAGGGCAGAGGTAGTCAGTCACCCTGGCTGTGGGAACCACCAGACATACGGTGAGTATGAAAAAACTCAGGGGATAACCTGCTACTGCAAAGTACTTCTGGAGGGACAACCCTGAGTAACTCTAACCACTGCCTGGACATTCCCAACCTCCTGGGATTGGAAAGAACCACCAGTGCTAGACACCCACGACTTCCCCTTCCAGTTCCACCCCCATGGTCCACACTAGCATGGACCACAGACACAGGGATTGAGCTGATCAGGAAACGCAATCACTGGAGGAAGTTTCTAGAGACACAATCTGAGCTGTAAGATTACTGCAGAAAGCAGGTCAATCTTTCAGATTAAGCTTTTAGAAAGTAAAGTAATTCAAATCTCAGAGTGGTGGGAAAGAGGAGGACTTTTATTGGGGGAGGGAAATCACTTGGGGCTGCCATCTTTACTGAGTGTGTCCAGAGGTAGTGATGTGGTCCCAGGGAGTGGGATACAAAGTTGCCGAGGATGAGGAAGTCAGTATCCTAATAAACAGGAAGACCTGATAAATTATCTTCCCAGAAAATTCATACACTGGTCTTTCAAAATTTACTATACCAATTATACTCGGCAGATAAATGTTGACAGAAGCCTCTTTACCCCATGAGGAGCAAATCTAATATTCTTTGGTTTTAGCAAATCTAAAGATATCTTTTCATTTCATTCTAATGAGGAAATAGCCTTCTTAGGTTGTGGCCACACAGGGGACTAGATAAAAACACAGTCTTTAGAAAAAATGTAAGATAAATTGCTGGTTTCCTGGGTTCAAACTGTGGGTTGGTCATTTAAAAGCTATAGCCTGGCTCGGCGCCTGTGGTTCAAGCAGCTAAGGCGCCAGCCACATACACCTAAGGTGGCGGGTTCGGATCCCCAGCCCGGGCCCGCCAAACAACAATGATGGCTGCAACCAAAAAATGGCCAGGCTCGTGGCAGGCGCCTTGGTCCCAGCTACTTGGGAGGCGGAGGCAGGAGACTCGCTTGAGCCCAGGAGTTGGAGGTTGCTGTGAGCGTGATGCCATGGCACTCTACCCAGGGGGATAGCTTGAGGCTCCGTCTCAAAAAAAAAAAAAAAAAAAGCTATAGCCTTGGGCAGATTATTTAATCTGACTCAGTCTCAGCTCCCTTTAAAATCAAGTGTCTACTTCTTGACCAGGTGAGGATTCAATGAGACAATTATACTTAAGGGGTTAGATTCAGAAAGAACACAGTAAATGCTAAGTAAGTGGTGACAGGTGACTGCCTACCCTTCTCTGCCTTGTTCTCCCCACCTGGAGAGAACAAGCCCTGGTGCCTAAACGCCCTGCTCCCTCTCTCGCAGGCCAGGTTTGGCAGCAACCACGTTCCCCTACCTGGGGCCACTGCTCCTGTTGGGTGGCCTTGGTGACCTGGCTAGAACTCTGATAACTCCACTTCCCACCACCCTGACATAGGAGCTGTAACAGCGCCTAGCTCCTGCTGGCCCCCAGGGACCCCACCATCCATAGTGGGTTCCTTCAACTCTGCTATACCACCATGAAGAATTCCTTCAATTAAACCCTTGGGAAAATGCTGTTTCCTGCCCGAACTTCAACTGCTAAAAGTCTGCGTAAATAGCCTGACCCTGGAGCGGTATCCGTATCAGGCCACCACTCACTCACCGAGAGCTGTGATGGAGACGAAAGTGCTGGCGCGGCGTTCCCCCACAATCTGCCACTCGCCGTCCACTGCCCGTACCCACTCAGTCACGTGGCATTCGTACTGGCCCTCGTCCTCCTTCCTGCTGTTGAAGATGCCCAGACTGAACGAGTTGGGCTTCACCTGCTCCATCTGGATGCCCCCAAAGCTGCTGCGCTCCCAGTAGGACAGTCCTGGCTGCACGGTGCCATTCCGGTCTAGCCACATGATGTTGCTGTGGCGGTTCTGCCTGTCCACGAGCTGCCAGATGACAGAGAAGCGGCCTTGTGGCCTGCCCGCTGTGCGGACGCTGCAGGAGAAGTGCAAATCCTCACCCTCAAGAATGACGCTGGCGTTGCTGGCCACCTCCACGGAGATGCTGCTCTCTGCGAAGAGGGAGAGAGTAAGAGGCTGGGGGCTTTCAGGTCCACAGGGCGCCCTCCCCACACATCGCTGGGAGGAGGGGAGGGGTGCAAATGGAATCACCTTTAGGTACAGTGAGCCTCGGAGAATAAAAGGCAGCCGACGCTGGCTGCCTGTTCCGGGCACTGCTCCCTGTGACTTAGACCTGATAATCTAAGATGTTCTCTGCTGTGTGCAGGCAACTGGGATAAGGAGGTTCTAAGACCTGAGACTACATCAGAACCTAAGAAACGTAACACAATGACATGATGTTTAGGGCATAAAACAAATTTATCAGGTAACCTACTGAGCTGGAGTTCAGGGCTTCAAGTTGGATTTTCAGCAACATGAGTAACTCCAAAGTCCTACCTCAATTCAATCCTCCCACCATGCGGTGCTATAGCAGTCAAATAAAAGCTGAACGTCCTTAATGTGCCATTTAAGTCCTTCAGGACAATATTAGGGAGTAGAAAAGAAAATGACAGGAAGTACTTAGAAGACAACGTGCTCTTAAGTGTGGAGAATAACGGAGCCCAGATGCTCCAGTTTCACAGAGTGTGTGGGGAGTGAGCTTTCATACTTTCATTAACACAGAGGAATAAACAAGAGTGCGTCATCCACCACTCTGCTGCTGCCCACGGTCAGCCCTGGGGCTTCCTTTGCTCTCTACCTGGAAACATTCCTCTGAAGTCTGGGCTAAGGATTCTACTCCCTTCTCTGCCTCAGTCTAGCATCGGCTACTTACTTAGCTATCTAAAGTCACTCATTCAATTTATTTAAACTCTATATTCCTCAGTTTCTTCACCTGTAAGAGAGAGGGAAGGCTACCTTTAATTACAGAATTTTTAAAAAATTATGAAGTAGGCCAGGCATAGTAGCTCATGCTTGTAATCCCAGCACTTTGGGAGGCCAAGGCAAAAGGATTGCTTGAGGCTAGGAGTTCAAAACCAGCCTGGGCAACAAAGCAAGACCCCACTGTTATAAAAATATTTTTTAAAAAAATTAGCTGGGCAGGGTGACATGTGCCTATATCCCAACTATTTGGGAGGCAAAAGTAGGAGGATTACTTATTACTTGAGCCCAAGAGTTCCAGGTTATAATGAGCTATGATCATGCCATGGGTAATAAAGTGATGAGTCCTTATCCTTTAAAAAAAAGTAAACGCGACCATGCATATAGATTCACCTGGCACACACATTTTCAAAAACTGGTCACCGTGATCCTGACTAATTTTACTATTTCCTTTATTTTATAAATATCACGGATATCCTAATCTGTTAGAGGATAACTAAGATAATTTATCTTAATTATTCATATATAATTTTATATAAACATTTACATTGAATTAAAAAGGCTCATATAAAGAATGCAAAATTATCAACACTAATTTGGCTTCAGTTTTCTGGGCACCACCCACATGAAACATACACAATAATTTTAAAGCAGTAAATTAAATCAAACCTCAGATTAAAGAGGCACACCCAATTACTGAAGGGAAACACACACATACACATAACAGTGCATCTGAATCAATCTTTTCTCCCCTTAATTTCCCCAATAGCCAGAAACAGATAAAGACGAGCATGGAGACTCAGCATATAGCTCTGACTTTCATGAGTATGCCTGCTACCCATTCTGGGTTTGCTTGTTTCACGTGGGAAGACGATCTGGACAGTGCAGGGAATAGCAATTTTCTCAGGAGGGCAACGTCCCTCAAGAGTCATGCCGACATGACTCATGGAGACCAAGAGGCGCTTGCACCATCTAAGGACTAGTGGTTAAGAGCGTGGAGACTTCATAACTCTGTAATCTTGGAGTTCTTACTTAACCTACCCAAGCTCCAATTTCTCATGTGCAAAATGGAGATACCAGTAGCGCCTACTTCTTGGGGTCACAACATTGAGAGGATTAGATAGGTAATTATTTTTCATCACCATTAATAACAACAATATTCCTCTATGGATTAAAGACGCATCATCCCCACGGTTATCAATTCAAAGAATGGGATTAAAAGGGCAACTTCAGCACCAAGGGAGAAAATCCTTTTGCTTGTCTTAAGCAGAAGAATGATTTGCAGGACATCAGTCCCATTCTTGGCTATCACCCCAGCAGACTCTTAATGTGAGTCCTGGCTTGTTTATAAGGCTGCCATTTGGCGCTCTGTTGCTTGAGCCAACCTGGCAAACCTGCACATTTAGAATGTAGAGCTACAAGAAGAAAAGCCATTCCAGGAGGCGAGGCAAAGGCAGATATAAACCCAGTGCCTCACAGCCCCATTGAGACTATTTACCAGGGTTCCCAGGCCTGGGAAAAGGCAGCCACAATTTAAAAACCCTCCAGATTAAGTGAAAACTAGGACAAAACTAATGAGAATCTGAGCGCATGTTTACAAATGAAATTTCAAATCAGGAAGTGGATGGTGTGGCACAGGCTAAGCGCAGAGCAGTGGGTCTGGAGTTAGAAGCCAGCATTTCCTAATGTGATGCAAACTCAACCTCCAGCTGGACATGGGCTCAGTTACTTCCCTATGTGGTGCTCTGACTTCTTCACTCACAGGATGGATATAACCTTGGCCTCTACAAGGACGTGAAAGGTATGAGTGGAGAAGGGGATGATATATGCAAGAAGCACTTGGGGCTCTTAAGAGGAAAAGCGCCATTAAAATCTCAGGTATTATCATTACCGATGTGATTGTTGTTCTTTGTAGACTTACCCAAGTGGCCTTGGGGCAGGATCTGGTGATGCTGGGGAACTTTAACTACCCAGTTATCTGCTGGAAAAGCAATATAGCAGGCCACAGATCATCAAACAAGTTCTTGGAAGGGATTGGGGGAAATCTTAGTACAAAAGTTACAGGAAATAAATATCGTGGCTGCCCTTCACTCCATCCCTACTAATGAGGAATTAGTTGTAGGTTTAAAAGTAAGAGAGTCCATGGTTAAGGCAAGCACAAACCAACAAGAAATAGTAAAGAGAGTGGACATTCACGTCAATAATTTCAGTTGGATAAATATTCAGCGAGCACCTATTCTATGCAAAGCACCATGCTAGGCATTGCAGTGGGGGAAAGGGGGCTAAGAAACAAAAGAATTTCAAGACAATTAGGTATCTATGTATGTGTGGTTTTAAAAAATAATAATAAGCATGAAAGAAAATAATCTAATTGACGAGCAAAGGGAAAAAAAAAGAGCAATAAGACCTCCATTGTCTGCGTTTTACTTCACACTTGAAGAGAAATACTTTAAATGTGTAAAAGTAAATAAAAATGTAAAGGAAATCATGACAAGGCTAAGAGAAAGAAGAGTTTGAGTAGGAGAAAAGGTTAACGGTTAGTTTTAAAACTTTATCATTTTGTTTAAAATCAGAGCGTTGTTAAGTTTTTATTTTCTTTTTACTAAAAATAGAATTATGAGAGAAATAAGATTAATAAGAACACCCTGATACTATGAATGTTTAAACAGAACATGAACAAACACTGGTAGTCCCTAGAATCCCCCAGCAATGGCCACCACCCTCCCAGACAACGCCAGCTACGTGGAGGCAGGGAGCCGGCCACAGGAGCCCCGGAAATCAGCTAAACTGATTCCTATGCTCCAGGAAGGTGTGAGAGATCCCATCTATTCTGAATTTAAAAACGCAATTTCAATAGGAAAGAGACGATTAAGAAAATACCAACCTGAGCAAATCCTTCTCAATAATGTACTTTATGATTTAAAATCCTCCCATAAAAGACCAACTCTCCTTAAGCGAAGTTTCAAGACAGGCATCTACCTACTTATTCTGGGATTTAATTCCCACATGGGAGCAAACAGCTTCCCAGGACTCCTGGTTTCCCTCCAAGCAGAGTTGGTGCTGTGGGTGTCTGCACAGGCCCGCTGGCACTGGGGTCTGCGGTGCTTGGCTCCAGCCAGAGACACACCCCGATCCTGTCTAGGGGGCTGCTAAGTGAGGACAGGCAAGCTCCAGGGGGAAGAGAGTTCCATGGGTTCTCTCCCAGCTCTGCTTTAGCCCTCAGTTCCGCCGGGCCTCCCCTCGCCCCCACTCTGGCTGTTCTCTACCCCCTTCTCTTCCTAGGTAATGCTGAAATAAGGGAGGAGAAGGAAGAAGCACATCTCTCTACTTACTGAGGGGGAGAACGATGATGGGGATATTCTTGGGACGCTTGCTCTCCTTGTCGATGAATTCCCCCGTCACCGTTTTCTCCCGCTCTGTCACCCGGCAGTTGTACTTCCCACTGTCTTCCTGGCGGAGGTGGTAGATCTTCAGCACAAAGACACTGTCACTCTCTTTAGATACCTTAAGCTGTCCTCTGGCTTCCCGGTGGGCGAATTCACTGTTGAGGATGGGCACAGCATTAGGCCCCATGCTGGCGATGAGCGAGCTGTTGAAAGCCCAGGAGACGGCAAAGTAACGGTCAGGAATGTTCTGGGCCTCCAGGATGCATCTGAACTCCACTGGCTCACCCACTGTGTGCAGTCGCTTGTCTGTTTCCAGTCGTACGGTGAAATCTTTGTCTGAAAAAACAAATAACCAATGGACACATGCTAGAGGCATGAGGGCCCCAGCTAACCAATCTGCATCAGCAATCCCCGCTCTGCAATGCTAACTACAGGGGAGGCACCACTGCATTTATTTTAGGAGAGAAATCCAACTCAGACCCAGGTGATCTGAGGTCCAGAGAAACCCTTGAATATCAGAGAGAGAATTCAAAGGTAGCTCATCCCCAGTCTAAGGAGCTTGTTACCCCTGCTGAGACCAACGGGCTCAGTTCAAAGCTTGTTATGCCCTGGATTAGACCCCCAGAGGTCAGTACAGAACCTCTGATATCACTTAAAAGCAGATGGCAAAGGTCTAGCCTCGATGTTTGCACCCACAACTCCACTTAAGCAACATGACTACAAATATCTTCAGCAGATACTGTAAGACTCACCCAGTGAGGTGTGTGAGACAAAAATTAGAAAGTGGCCAAGGGGCTGACTGTAATCCTAATAAATAAACATAAGTACGGCAAAATACTCTCCCCGGCCCATAGGAATACTACAAATAAGATATAGGTAAGAGTAAGCCTAACAGAATTATATAGGAAAGATGAAAACTAATGTCTTTTCACTAGTCTACCACCTGTCAGATCAATATTTGCGGCAGACAGAGAGGGGAAGTACCTACTTCAGCTGAAAGTCAGATGACCTCTGAAATGGCCAGTGACCCTATGCACCCTTCAGATTGCTGGGTGTTTAAGCAGGCAAGTGGAGGTGAGCAAAGAAGGCTCATCTCCACTAAAGTGTCACAGCCCTCTGTGTAATGGTGTGCAGTGACCACCAATCACATGAGACAGACGGGGTAAGAAATGGAGATAAGGTTGGAGACTGGAGCTGTAACCTGCCCAGATCCTGCCTCCTTCCACTTCCAGCCCTGGTCCTCTAAGGGGAAAAATCTTGTGACAGGGAGGTTAGGATTCCTTGCACATTCACCAGCTCCAATCTCAACCGCCTTCCAAGAATGGCCTTTTCCACTGTGTTCAAGACCTGTGCCCCCCCCCATTCCACACACTGCCCAAGCAGATGAGGGTCCCATCTCCCAGAGAGACCCGTGCGCCCCCATTCCCACACACTGCCCAAGCAGGTGAGGGTCCCATCTCCCAGAGAGACCCGTGCTCCCTCTCCATTCCCACACACTGCCCAAGCAGATGAGGGTCCCATCTCCCAGAGAGACTCGTGCCCCCCCATTCCCACACACTGCCCAAGCAGATGAGGGTCCCATCTCCCAGAGCACACACAGGAGCTGCGAGTGAGCTGTGTCCAGGTCCTCATCCCCAGCCCTAGCTCAGGTTTATACCCACTTGCTCCTCGGGCTCTCCAGCCCTCACCTCCCACCAGGGCCAAGGTCCTGCTCCAAAAACCCTGTCTCTCCAGCAACCCAGCTCCTTCCAGACAGAGCAAACTACACTCAGCCAATGTGTGCCTGCTGTGGCAGTTCTACTCCCCCAGGGACCAGGCCCAAGTGGCAGATGCGAGAGGCAGGTTTTCACCCATCTTCCTGGATGAACACACCCAGGTGGGACTGTGTTCGTGTCATCTGCTGGATATTGGCTCTCTGGTCAACTAAACTGTAGTCACCGATAACCCAACACATTCCTTCCACATAAAGGCCACAGCAGCTGTGTAAGGGGTGCCCTGGGCCGCAGACTGTTCCGTGGCTCCACATCAGCTGGCTGCAACTGTGGCTTTCTTCTTTGGCAGCCAAAGGTTCTGCTTATCTCATGGGAGTTCCCCCATGGCTTAGTGAGGGTTGAAGATAGCATGCCACCCACTCTTTCTGCATAGCAATTTGCCCTTGCTTATACCCAGTTACATCTCTGGAAACTGATCTATGCTTTTGCCAATAACCCTCCCTTTCAACCCTCAGAAATTTGGCTTCTGGCCCTTCTCCCACGCTGCACTGACCTGGCAAATGTCACCAATGATCCGCCCTATCCTCCACCCCCAACTCAACCAAAAGCTTTTTTTTAAGTAGGTTGAAGCCTCCGGACCCTTCTCCCGTCTTGGGTCTCCTGACGCCTTCCTGCCTGCTCCTCCTCCTGCTGGCCTGACTGTTCTGTCCCCCTTCCTGTCCCGGGGACCTGCTTCTCTGACCCCCCTGTCAGTGCTGCTGTTTTTCCAGGCCCTTTCCTGTATCTACCCTACGGGCCTCTCCCCAGCCTTCACCACTCATCGCTTCCCAGCTCAGTCTCTAACTGAACTCTAGTCTCCTAGGTTCCCACTGGGTCTTTCACATACTGAGCATCTCTGTGAGAGTTTGTTTGTAGGATGAACTCCGTGACTAAAAGCAAAAGACAAGACAACCCACGCTGTCACTAATGGGCAGGCAGAGACTTTCAGCGAGACTGTGCACATCCTCATTCCCGTCCCTTCACCTTCCCCCTTCACTCCCACAGTTTAGGGACCCACAAGAGCCCTGGTCTTGGCCTCCCAGGCAGTTGGGTCCCTACTTCCACTGAGCCCCTTATTCTTCTGCTCTAGCACCTGCTGACCAAGCTCCTGCCTTACCAGCTCTTTCTGACCTGGTCTCTACTTCAGACCCAGTCCGCTTTATCAGCCTCCGTGGGTTTTCCCTTCTAAACTCCTGATTTGAATGTGTTACTCTGCTTAAAAATCTCTGCCTCCTCTCTCCCAACTGTCTGCAGCAGGGGTTCCCAAGCTTTATTAGGAGGGAGACATGGGAAGGGGACTTCCTTCAGTCATACAAAATCTTTTGCTGCTCAATATAGAGAACATTTGGTTGAAGTCAGGGCTTGGAGGGAGGCACACCCAGGCCCTCACATACCTTCTCCCTGCACACCTGAGTGTGGACGTGTGCACATGAACACATACACACACCCCCAAGTGCACCTTGGCACATCCAAGGGGCTTCTAAGGTTTTAAGAAGAACAGCTTGAAAACTCTTGGTCCACAGAGTCAAGTCTAAGCTCTGCATTACGGCATCTGGGGCTACAGGCTCAGATCCGGACCTTGGCATCTAGTCACACTTGACTTTTCTCTGCTTGACAAACACATCAATTTTGAACCTTTATGCTTCTCCTCCTGCTGACTCCTCAAGCTTCAAGACTCAGCTCAAGTTGCCTAACTTGTTGGTTTTCCTGGATTTGTCTCATCAGCCATTCCATGCAGGGAAAGCACACAGTTGCCAGAAAACTTCCTACCTCCTGTGTTCCCTGAGGACACCACACACACACAGTCTGAGCACTCAGCACCCTCCTCAGCCACTGACTCTCAGGTCTGCAAGTATTATAAGTGCAGATTCCAAGAATTATTCAGTTCTGAACCCCTTAATGCTGTGGAGACTGGCTGAACATGTGAATGAAGAGAAGGGCAAAGCTGGAGATGCAGCCACTTAGGCTGAGCAGCCCAGGAAGACAGAGCACGGGCATCAACCTGCTATCTCACGAGTTTTCCCTTTGCTGGCTTAATCTGGATATGTTTGCAGGGCAAACTCACAAAGTCCTAGTTCCAAATTGGTAAGATTAAAATAAAGAAGATTAACTGATGCAACCTAATTTGAAAGCATTAAGAGTCAAAATTTGGTTCAGACTCTTCAAACTGATCTCAACATCATCCAGGAAGGGAAGGGATATGACATAAAGCCCCCTGGATAGATTTCTTCATATGGGAAGATCCAGAAACTGCTCGATGTCCTACAAAGCAGATAAAGTGTTCCCTACCCAGGAACCAAATGCTTCTGGTAAAAGCAGACTCCTTAAAGCTCCACAGAAACACATCTGCCTTAGAAGCCGAGCTTGACAGTGAGCAGACAGCAGAAGAATCACCCAAGACACCTACTGGAAATCCAGCTTCCAGGGCCCAGTCCAGGAGCCTCTGACCCGGGACTCGTGGGATAAGGCCCCAGAATGTGCACTGCTTGGTGAGTGTGAGACGCTGCTCTAGGAAGGCAAAGGAACTAAGCCAGGATCAGAGCAGCTGAAGGAACAGATGGGACAGGGGCCCAGGAGACGGGTGCTGCAGAGGGGCTCCACGGCACTCGGCTCCCCTGCACACTTCCCGCGAGCCACGCCTGTACTTACTCACAGGGCCACTGCAGCCCTCAACAGGGCTCAGCACCAACACAGGAAAAGCTCTCGGGCCACTCTGCACACCACAGCGATGGCACGTTCACCACCCTCCCATGACAACCTGCCCCCAGCCCAGCTGAGTCATCAGCTCTCAAGAATGGGAGAGTAGAGTGTGGGGCCACAGGGACACCCAGAGGAGACAGGGAGGACTCAGCTCACTGTGTCACCCTCACTCTGCCCCAGCTCTAAACCATATCACTCAACCTCCTCTGGGACCCTTTCCAGGTCTTCCTCTTCTCTTCCCTTGAGAATGCCGACAGTGGTTGGAACCTGGTAATCTCTGGGCGGCCTCACTGACAAGCCCCATCACCCTCTAATCCTCACTCAGCATCCTCATCTGTAAACTGGGAATATCCCCACACCTCCTCACCTCACAGACCCCCTGAGGGACAGTGACGTAATACATGTGATGAAGCATTCTGGAAATTATAAAATACTGCCAATGAATCTCCTAAATATAAAACATAATAATTTAAGCCCAAATTTCCCTAGTTCATAATTTTATACTTTGCATAGAAGGCTCATCAACCCAAGTGTCAGGTACCAGATTGGGACCTGAAGAAAGGGACATCATCAATTACAGTGACAACTGTGGCTGACAGCAATGGAAACCCAGAGTCCTAAGATACAAATGGTTTCTGTAAAATCTCCCAGTTTTTAAAGTAAGTTTCCAATTCAAGAAAACATAAACACTGGTAGGTGAAAGAAAACACATCTATAAGCAAGATTCCATCTGGGCAGCACCTGTGCCTCCCTAGAAGATCGGGTGTAAGTGACCTAAGTCCTACGTAAGCCTCAGCTCCCTCCGACCACAGGCAGGACAATCTTGAACTTCACACAAAAACCTACTTATTGTATCATTAGAGGTCCCCACACAAGGAGTTGCCACACCCTCCCAGTGTCTGACACATTTTACCACCAGGCAAAGAATGGAGACAAGAGGCTCAGAGAGACTGACCAGTGGGCTGAACGTTGACCACGGCACCCTCGGAACGCTTCCGGGTCATGGCATACCACGACCCATCGGGATCCTGGATCCACTCGGCAGCCTCACAGTAGAACTCGCCCTGGTCAGCAGGCTGCAGGTGGAAGATGGTGAGGCGGAAGGTGGTCCTCCCCAGCTTGTCCAGCCGCACCTCCCCCAGGCTCTGCCTCTGGGCATACTCGCTGCTGGAGTGAAGCACGAAATCTCGGCTCAGGGAGATGACCTCCACAGGCTTCTCGCCACCCTTCTGCCGCAGCCAGGCCACAGACAGGTGGCTGTGCTGGAACGTCTCCGTGGCCACCTCACAAGTGAGCTCCAGCGGGTCCTGCTCTACTTTGTGCAGAGTCTGGGGCATGGCAGCGGTCTGCAGGGAGTCTGGGATCACTGCAACACAGAAAGGTCCCAAAAGTGCAATCACAAAGCTGCGGAATTTTAGACTTAGGGGGCCTCAGCTCCCACTCCACGCATGCTTTACTGTTACTGTGTCTCCAACAGTCGGCCTTTAACCATCAGAGTCAACCCCAAATGGCACATTGATAAGAGTTTTCTGTAAGACTTTAGGATGTTCTTTTTTTTTTGGTACTGACACTTACACATAGGCTGTATTTCATTTCACATAATAAATAAGCTCCCTGAAAACACTACATAAAAATAATTTTCTTTTAGGTCAAATAAGATCTTTTACTGATTTCAGTATTGCTTTGAGAAACTTTAACTCTACCTCTAACTGATCTTCAAATGGACATGGCTCTGGAACCTTGAGTTTTACATTTCTCTACAACTTCCTCATTTTCTTTCTTCTCCTCATCCCACATACCCATTCCCCAACTTACTTCAGGAATGCATCACTCCAAAAAGAGTATTAAAAGAAAACTTTTTTGGTAGAAAAAAAATCATCATTTTCTCTACCCCTTTTAAGAAGTAATCCCAGCACTTTGGGAGGCTGAGCTGGGAAGATTGCTTGAGCCTAGGAGTTCAAGAAGAACCTAAGCAAGAGTGAGAGTCTGTCTCTACTAAAAATAGAAAAACTAGCCAGGCATTGTGGCAGGCACCTGTAGCCCTAGCTACTCAGGAGGCTGAGGCAAGAGGATCATTTGAGCCCAAGAGCTTGAGTGCAGCACGGCACTTAACCCCAGAGCAAAAGAATAAGATTCTGTCTCAAAAAATGGGGGTGGGGGGAACACAATTATAAGAGGGACTTTACCTAACAAATGCAATCAATGTAACCTGGTTCTTGTACCCTCAACGAATCATCAACAATTAAGAAAAAAAAAAGAAATCTAATTTTCATCTAATTCATCGTCAAAGTGGCTCACATTGGAAGGAAGCCACAGCCTGGGATGATTCAGGCAAGAGAAGAGCTCTCCCGTGGTCCCTTGGTCAGAACGGTACCCTGAGCCTTACATCTTCCTGGAGATTGAACACTACCACCCGTCTGTCTGACGAGGGCACCCTACTCACAAGAAGTGTGTGTCTTCTCCCTGGACTCATCCCAGAACTGGGTCTTAAAGGTCTTTTGTTGGGATACAGACTTATAAAACAAAAGAAAAGTAAATAGCTAACAGCATTTGTGTTAATAAAAGATTATCAATACCCCGTGCTTACCTTCCATAATAAAAACTAGAAATTAAGACTTGGACAGAAAAACAGAACAACCTCGACTTGGCTAACCCTTTGACAATGGCAAACACTGTGGCCACTGCTGTCCAGTGAAAGCTCCCTCCTCCTCAGGCTTCCTCCCTCACCCAAGGAGCACCAAAGGAGACAGGCAGTTCACATCTCCTAAGCCACAGAGCCAAAGGACCAGCAGCCACATACCTTCCGGCCACAGTAGGGCCCCCAGGCATCTCAGGTCCTGTCCAAAGGCCCGTCCTTTGCGAGAGGTCTTGCCTCTCTTCCAGCTGATGTCATAGGCTTCATCATCCTCATCATTTCTCCACATCAACCACAACGTCCCTATCCTATATTTTTATATCCCTTTTCATTAGCTAGAGGTCAATTAGCTTCCGAATTTTTTTTTTTTTTTTGAGAGAGTCTCACTTTGTCACCCTTGGTAGAGTGCCATGGTGTCATAGCTTACAGCAACCTCAAACTCCTCGGGTTAAGCAATTCTCTTACCTCAGCCTCCCAAGTAACTGGGACTTCAGGCAGCGGCTGAGGTCTCACTCTGGTTCAGCCTGGTCTCGAAACTGTGAGCTCAGGCAGTCCACCTGCCTCAGCCTCTGAAGTGCTGGGATTATAGGCATGAGCCATCAGGCTCGGCCCTACCTCCCGAAGTTTTTAGTATCTGCATTAGATCTTTTTTATGTTAAAGCCTCAATGTTCTATTATATACAAGCAAACACAGAAATTTTGTTCACTTATACTATCTATTGACCTCTAAAACACTTGGGGGAAGGGAAGGTTTTTTTTTTTTAAGTCAAATGCCTGATATAAAAAAAAGTTGCACTATAAAAGAAGTGAGTCAGGCCAGACATTTGGCCACGTGAAAACACTATCTCCTTACCCACGAGGTTCATCTTTGCACTGTAACTCCCAAAGTATCGGTCATCGGTGTTAGGCGTGTGGCATTCATACTCCCCGGCATCCCGCGCCTGGAGATCCGTGATGTGCAGTAAGGCCGAGTTCCCCTGGACTCTTTCCACATAGATCTTCCCGCCGCGGACACGCTGGGTGTAGATGGCGTAAGGGAAGGAGGAGTCCACAGTGCTGACAATCTGCACCTCTCGCTCTGGGGCCGAAGGCAGGTAAATGGACCACTGGAAGTTCTGCTCTAAAGGGCCCTGGTAGCCGCTCACGTTGCACCAGATGGTGATGTGGGAGCCCTCTGTGCGGTACAAGGGGCCTTCCTGAACGGTGACTTGCCGCTGTGCTGACACCACACCTAGGAGGGAGAGAGGTACAGACAACACGTTGGAACAAAATGCAAAACTGGCTGCAATCTCCAAGGGTTTGTTATTTGTGTGGCATGATAATAATATGAATAGCATACTGGCCCTTTCAGAGGCACTCTGTGATTTATAAATATTAATTAAAACACTCTGTGGTAACGCGCCATCCCTGATTTGCATAGATGGGAGTCTGATAGCGCAAGGACACGGTTTTGTTACTTATTCTAACGGCTGACCCTTGGGAATTTCATTTAGTCCCTTTGTTTGTCATTTATGTGGCAGTTTTATATCTATTTATTAATGTTGTTTATAAAGTTTTTAATAAAATGAGCAAGAAAAGTTGAGTCCTTGACAACAAATTCAGATGAAAAAACAAATAAAACCAACAGTCTTGCAATTTGGCTGAAATGAAACCTTCCTTGATCAGCGTGCTGGAGGCCGAGAAGCCTGGGAGCGTCCTCTTTTGGGTGTTGTACCCTTCCTTTTCGGATGCAGCTATCCCGCACACCACCCCCAGGAGCCTGCCCTCAATTCTCTTCCCTCCATAAATGGAGGTAGGACTGAGCTCCCGCAGGCCGCTGCAGGTCTGAACAGCACACACAATACGATCGTGAAGGGCTGAAGCAGATTCTGCTGCCCAGATTCCCACCGTCTGATGAAGGGGGGGGATGTAACAGTGCACAGCAAAACCTGTAGTGAGGACAGTCAGGCTGCCCAGAGGTCACTGCTCAATTTGCCTACTCTCCCCCTCAGCCTTCTGGCTGGGATACAGCTTTCCAAGGTCACTTCTGCCTGCCTTCCCCATGTTCTTCTCAACACGGCAAGGTGAGTTTAATTTCCCGTTCAACACCAACACAACACTGACTGCGTATGAGCCATCAGAAGGTGGGAAGAGCACCCCCTTCGCCCTTTCCCTCGGTGGCACCCAGGTATTGCAGTGTGGTGGGTAGAGCAGGTTAGGGCTACTCACAGCTCGGCCACCAATTAGAACTGGCTGCGTCACCTTGGACAAATTGCTTTTACTCTCCAGACTTCAATCTCCTCATCCATAAAATTATTTCTAAGGAGGACTCGCATGTATCCCAACGCTGACTTTGTCACTTATGAGCTGTGACCTTGGACAAGTGTTCTTTATCTTTCCAAGCCTCAGTTTCCTTGTCTGTAGGGTGGGATAAGGAAGAGTATGCCTTGCAGAATTACTGAAAGACAATGTCTGTGAAGCTCCTAGCTCAGGTCCTAGCCCACCATCAGTCTTCAATAGAGAGCTGCTTGCTAAACCCCCTTGTAGTTGGAATAGTCTGTGGCTCTGGATGCACAGGAGATAAGATTTGGCCAATGGCCATTTGACAATGACACTCTCTCTGGGCTGCCCACCTCCCCCAACACCTGCCGCCCACTTGCATGGAAGAGTCTCTCCTCCACCCCAGTGGGAAGGGCAGCTGCCCCATCTGAAGTGGATCCAGCTGGTGAACAGCTGGGATGGCTCAGATACTAGTGGGATGCAGCTCTCAGCCCAGCCTCAAAGCAAGCTGGTCTAATGTGAAGAACGGGGGACCTCAAATCCAGGAAAGGCCTACGGCTTACAAACATCTGTTTGTGCAGAACCTTCCGCCATCCCCAAACAAAATTTTACATGGAACCTCATCTTGGCTTTGGCAGAAGCAGAAAAAATGAAATGGGCAAGGGGAGGGGACAGATCAACAGAACAAAGCGGTGTGTGGAGTTATCTGATAAATTCTGGCTCATGGTGTTCATTGCTGTATAAAAAGTAAGTGACAAGACAACTCATTAGTAGTTTTCAGTGTGTTAAAACTTGGTGTATAACATCTTGCCTCTATGTACTCTTTTTATGACAATGTAAAAAATATACATAGTCATGCACCCATAACAGCGTTTCGGTCAATGATGGACTGCACGTACCACAGTGGTCCTACCAGCTTCTAATGGAACATGAACAGAAAGAAGTCTGATACATGTACTTAATATTGGCACTGCAGATCAAGTAGGGGAAACAACTGATAGTCGGTAATGGTGTTAAGACATTTGGCTTTCCATATGAAAAAATTTGCATAAATAAAAATATACAGCATTTACCATCTAGGTTTGTGTTAAGTACACTCTATGATTTTCTCACAACTGGGAGATCACCTAATGATGTATTTCTCTGAAAGTACCCCATCATTAAGGAATGCACGGCTGTGTATACACACACCCACTATAGTGACAACTGAATCAACCATCTGCAGTATTCCTGAAATGTGGAACACGTTGAGAACAACTTACTACATCCTAACAGTTAGGTCTCCTTGCGTTGCAGTGTTCTGAGACAGCAGTGATCACTACCCCTCGCCTGGAGCAAAGCAGGCTGGAGGCGGTCAGGGCGCACCAGCGTCTTCTTTAAGGACTACTTCTTAGCCTTGGGCCTATGCTGGAAGAACCTCGGGGACTTTGAAAAGTAACAGTGCTGGGCCCTCACCTGACATAATTGGTCTGGGGTGCAGCCAGGGCACTAGGAGTTGTGAAGCTCCCCAGGTGATTCTACTCCGTTGTAGCAGGAGTAAGGACTGCTATTTTAAAGCATCCCTACCTACATGGTGCCAGCCAGGTGCTCAAATGAAAGAACATATCCTAACTTAGGGCTGTCAGGGCTTTTAAGTTCCTCCCTTCTGCAAAGACTCTTCAAAGATTTGGCTCAAGAAAGTCTCCCAGTCCTCTAGTCTTCCCCTGTACAAAAAGAAAGCATTAGAGACCCATCTGATGCCCGCTCTTGTGACGCAATGCGTTTAACCAGAGTGCCTTCTATTTACAGACCTTAAAAAGCACAACACACACTTCCCTCTCCACCCAAAGGCAACAGTGTTAAGTGGCCTGAACGAGCCAGGGCAGCAGGGTCAAAACAACTCGTCCAGTCTGGAGGCAGGTTACAAACAGCCCTGACAAATAATAAATACTGGAGTGTACTTTAACCACATACATTCAGCTGTACCTGCCTGTTAACTATCTCCTTAGGTTCTACCCACCCCAGCAAGGGCCTTTGACCCCTGAAAATAATGCTGCTTTTAGAAAGTGGATCTCAACACAGAAATAAAATCAACATTTTCTTCCTGGCAGTTTAATTCCCGTTCCACACCTCACCCCTGCATTTTCTTCTCCTGCCACTGCCCCTGCTGCTCAGACCTTGCTGCTTTCAAGCAGACTCAGGACCCCAACCCTGACCAAGGTTTCCTCTGACCCCACTGCCCTTTCCACCTCTCAGCCCACAACAGAGGACACCTCCTAGGCAAGGATTATTTTTATTTAAAAATAACTCTTTAGATTGTAAACATCTGCATTCTTTAGATTACTTTGCAATAAGCAAATGTTACTTCCATAATATAAAGCCAAAGACCAAAGTGTTATATATAACTGTACGGAAAAGACTAGAAAGAAAATACCAGGTGGTAGGATGGCAAGTGGCTTTTATTTTCTTCTTTACATTTTACTCCCTCTCCCACTCCTCTATAATAAGTATGTACTAGTTTTATAACTAAAAAAAAAAACTTTTAACAAAAATGAAAATAATGCATGCTTGGTATATAAAATGTCTTTTATAGTCACTACTATAAAATGTTAAAAATATACATATTTGGTTTTTGTCCCCAGTTCCTAGAACTGAGCTAAACCCTTTGGAATTCCCTATCTGACTGCAATGCCTTTTATTATTCATAAGGAGCCCCTTTGGGCCATACCAGAGTTTATGCTAATGAGGTGAGTCAAAGGGGGCCCTTACATAGTTTCAAAGAAGAGACTGTCCATGCTTAGAGGGTTGGAACTTTCAGCCCTACTCCCAGACCTCTGGGGACAAAGGGAGCTGGAGATTGACCCCATCACCAATGGCAATGACTGCATCAATCATACCCACATAATGAAACTCCATAAAAGAACCCTAGGTGACAGAGTTAGGAGACCTTCCGTGCTGGTGCACAGAGTGATGTCCAGGGAGGGTGGTACACAGGGAAGAGGGCACGGCAGCTGTGCAGGACTCTTCCTTGGCCCTTACTTTGTGCAGTGAACAGAGCTGGCTTCTGTGGCCAAAAGAAAATGCAGAAATGATGGCAAGTGACTTCCAAGGCTAAGTCATGAAAAGATAAACACCATGCTATGAGCACATCAAAGCAGCCCTACTTGTGGAAAAGGTCTACATGAGGCCTCCTGCCAACAGCCACCTGTCAGTATATGACTAAGCCAGCTTGGAAGTGGATCCTCCAGCCCCAGTCAAGCCTTCAGATTACAACAACCCCAGAAAATATATTGACGGCAACCTCCTGGAAGATCCTGAGCCAGAACTATCCCTGAACCACAGCAACTGTATGAGATAATAAATGTTTATTATTGTTTTAACCCTAAAGTTTTAGGATAAATTGTTTTGCACTGATATATAACTAACATAGACATCTATGGTTCATAAGATTGGATGCAAAACCATGTGCTCTTGAGAAAGGGTTTATATGTTTCAAAAGAGTCTTAAAAGGATTCAAGACCCCAAAAAAGACTAAGGAAAATAATTTTTCAGACAATAAATGGTCAGTGGGTAGGGCCATGTATTTTTACAATCCCCAGTCACACAAGCATAAAATATCACTTAACTGGCTTTTCAAGATATTGCCAGTCCAAGGATGTTCCCGCTTCTTTGTGCTCAAGCCCTAGATGAACTTAACTGAGGGCGGAATGAGTCAGGGGTGAGTGAGCAGGGAGGGGTCCCTGTGCCTGGGAAAGCTCATGCATTTTTTGAAATACCCCTTGGCTTAGAGACCTACATCTACAAGCACAGGATCTAATTTACACCTTCTAGATGCCTGACTAAGCACGTCACAGTGTCAGAGGAATCCACCTTGCCCTCTTCCACCTCCCCTTCCAGCTACAGTCTGCACAGTCATCAAAGCTCACGGGCACCCTGACGCTCTAAATTCTGCATGTGACTTGGCCACCCTGGTATATTTCTTTACCTATCAAA